GGTCTGTCTTTAGAAGGCTACTGTAGTGGCATCTATTGTTGTAGTAGAACTGGTAGTTTACTATTATATCCTGTCTCTTTGCAGTTGGTCCACACATAGGGCGTTATTGTGGGCAGAACAATCCAGGACGTGTCCGGTCTTCAACAGGGATTCTTTCAATGGTATTTTACACCGACAGTGCAATAGCAAAAGAGGGATTCTCAGCAAACTACAGCGTGTCGCAGAGCAGTGTATCAGAAGGTCAGTATTTATCTATCCCGCAGGGCTTCTTGGAAAATATTCTCTGTTATGTCTTCTTGCACACCAGGTGTTGCATGAAACTTTAAAGAACCTTTGATTAAATAAGATGGTGGGGAAGGGTTGGCTCTGTTTTTCTTTTTTCTTTTTTTTTTTTTTTTAAAAGAACAGCTGCCCTTTGAAAAGCAGTGCAAGAAGCAGAATTCTCCTTACAGTTTTATTCCGCAGTATTGCCAGGAAGTTGGGATAATTATTTTGAAAAACTGTACTGACCAACAAAACACAGGAATGCAGAGCAATTGAACACTTGCATTAAAACAATGAAACATGAACAATGAATGCACTATCCAGAGCCTTCTTTTATTACATGGAACAAGCTTTGATGATCGATTTCTTGAATAAAAAGAACCCATTTAATATATGTGCTCTTGTTAAACCATTTCATAAGCTATCTAAGCTTTGTTCTCTGTCTCGTATTTTTTTCCCAGTTGCCTCATTTTCATGCTTACCCTTTGGACAGAGAATGAAAGTGAGGGAGACGCAGGAAAATAATGGGCTGTGTTACACCATGGCCTCGCAGATTTCCTTGCTTTGCTCGATGATAAAACACACACTTTAAATCAAACTCTCTCTCCTTTCTGTGACTTACTGAGTTTTGAGCAGATTCACCCAGATTTGATGTACTTGTTTAGTCAAAGAAGGAACAAAAGAAAAATGAGCAAACTGAAATTATCCCTGTTAATCCCCACATCTCCTCTGCCCCTTGCCTCTTTAATAGCTTTCTTGTATGTGCATAGCCAGGAAGAGGGAACGGGACGTACCCAGCCTCTGTGGATGGGAAATATCCTCCTCCATCTCTCTCAGATTGTACCTCCAGCTAGTTTGGCTTCTCCTTATGTAGGTGCTGGTCCTACCTCTTCATTAGCTAGCACAGGCAACTTGGGTCCCCATGTCCATCTCCTTTACAGTCATCCTCCCTGGGCTATAGAGGCATCATCACACTGGAGCCAGAACTAATAATATCTGCTTTGCTGAGATGAATTCAGCTCTTAAACACAGGACAACAGAACAAGAGAAGGTAGCGTGTGTGAAAACCCTTTTGGATAATAAGAGGAATCATTTTCTATGATGCAGGCTTAGGCAGAGGAGTGATTCGCCTTGCTTAATTTCAGCCACCCTTACTCTCTGTGTTGTCAATACAGAAAGGATCACCTCCAGAGGACAACTCAGCCTACTTATCTCAGATGGGTGAGATGTACCCGGGAGGTACTTGTCCCTCTCAGTAGACTACAGGGAAAGCCCTCATGTCTAGACACTTTTTAGACATTTTAATATGAGTCCCACCTATCATGTCTTGCGTTCTTTGTAGTGGCTTATGACTCTCCTTTTGATTCCAAGCAGAAGTTAAATTACTTTGAGTCTTACCCTAACATAGTTCAGCTTCAATACTTCACCCAAGGCCCCTAATATGTTGAAGCAGCACAGAAATGGGAGAAAGGGTGGTATGCCACGGGAAATACAGTTTGGCAACAAGTCTGATAATTCAATTATGGGGCACTCTAACTACAACTCCTATAAGGTACCCTGATAGCATTTCTGAATAGAAGTTTTTGGATCTCAGATAAAAGATTTAAACTTTTTCTTCAGAATATTTTAATTTTCATTGAAAAATCAGAACGTTGCTTATGAAAAGCTCATTTTTCCAACTCAGATTTTGAAACATTCAGTTCAGCACCCACCCCTTTGTTAGAGATACGTCAGCTCTAGAGAAGATGTGATAAAAAGGAGTGTGTACTCAAATGTCAGGGCCTCTGCTTCACACACTAGTATTTTACCTTGAACTGCTAATGAAGGAATGAATCATATTTATATACTATGAAGTCCCTAAACAGAAGCATAGGCACATATTATTTTCTCCTGCCCTTGCAATGGGGCTGGTAAACTTTTGACAGGGGGGTGCATGAGCAGCTGGGTGTGAGGATTCATCTAAAGCCACCGGCATCTCTTGCTTCAGTGGGGGTTCGAGCCTTTATTTTTGAAGAGTGAGAGAAGAATTTAGCCTCTATGCCCTATCAGCCTTTGAACTCAATATAGTGACTAGGGTGTCAATTGATTCTAAATTATCCAGGTAATTTTTGTGTCAACAAAAAGAGATTGGATGGAGACGATCAACTCTTTTAAAATACAGCACGTTACAGAAGAGGTGGCAATTCCCTTAGGTCAATAACCTTCTAGTCTGGATTCAAATTTGGTTGATCTGTTTCTTTCCAGTGTCCAAGATCCAAAGAGAATGGCTGGAATTTTAATAATATTTTTTAAACATTTTATACTTTTTCTACTGGAGTAAATAGTTTTAAAATAAAATTATTTTATACAGTCATCTGGTTTGTCTTTTCTGACTTGTGCATAATTATGACTTGAACATACATTGGTTTATATTATGAATCCACAGAAGTGCCTGTGCTACCCTAGAAAAGAGAATTCTATTGTCCTATATTGAAATGGCTACAATGCTGGGCTAAAAATATTTGTATAGCATTATTACTGCAGGAATTGCCATGGCAACTCAAATGACAGTATTAAGAATGACACCATAAGCCCAATACTGCATCACTTAAAGTTGCTAAAGAATTCAAAATCACATAAAAATAAATTCTTTAGATATTCATATTCAAAGCAGGAAAACGTTCTCATTATTCAAAGTCTAAACCAAAAACCTGACCATAATAATGATGGTAATTTACTTTTCTTCAGATTTCCAGTGCATGGAACCACTAGGTATGGAGTCAGGAGAAATTCACTCTGATCAAATCACTGTCTCCTCCCAGTACAGCGCTATCTGGTCTTCAGAAAGGTCCCGGCTAAATTACCCTGAGAATGGATGGACTCCAGGGGAAGATTCTGTCAGAGAATGGATACAGGTAAAAAGATAATGCTTTAAAGATATTATTAATAATACTCTGTGGAGTTTATTGAATGTGGAGAATGCAAAAGAAAGAAAAAAAAACCACAGTAAAGTACTTCTACATAATCTAAGAATCACTGCAAGTGAATACCTCACGTTCCCTATTAGACACACAAAAAAACCCTGACTCCCAAAGGCATAAAAAAAGAAAAGGTCAGGAAGATTAATTCTTCTACTTCCCATGTCTATTGTTTTTTCAGTCTTCTGGGCACAAATAACAGAGATTTTAGTTTAGTGGAAAAGTCAATATTAGTTTAACATGCACTTAAAGTGGAATGTCCCAGTAAACTGAGCATGTGCTATGTCTCTAGCTGATTACAGTTAGGCATTAATACGGCATGGTGTTTTCATGCACTTAGAGTTCACCTCAGAAGACCTATGTCCCTTCTAGAATATGTTACACATTAAATGAGTTCAGTGGTCTCTGTCTAGTGGCTATTCTTCTACAACCTTAAATACAACATTCATTAGCAAGATTGGCTGTCTCGGCTTTGCTCTGTTAATACAGGAGAAATTGTGCAAACATCTGTGGCCCTGAAGAGACTCCTTGAATTCAGTCAGTCTACTTGGGCTTGTTTGCTATTTGTTATCAGGTCCATAGCTTAATGGTGCATGATTCCTGAACAGGTTAAAATTATTCATTTGAATTACTGTATACAAATAATCTATACTAACGGGCAAGTATTGATATAATTAGGTGAATAAAACACTGATTTATCTTAATTGTAGGTTGACTTGCACTTCTTAGTTGTAACCTAGATTCTATTTCTGTTGGCAAAAGCTAAGAGAAAGGCTTGAGCACATTAGATCAATATTACTAATATTAAAAACTTGTTCATATATTTGAAACATTCCTCCTGCTTCTGTTGTTTTCTGTAGGAAATTGCTGACTGACATATAAAAACAATGCCTCATTAGCCATCCATACAAGTGTTCACATTGGTGTTTCCTGTGAGGTTTGCTGTCTGCAATAAAGCTTAAAAACATGTTGAGCAAGTAGTTAGTAAAGGGAAGAAAGAGGGGGAAATCTTTCCTTTCTGATCCTTGGCACACAATGGGGCTCTCAGGTGTCCTGCTTAGGGGCCCCTACACATCCTGAGCTCATGGCAACTTGGTAATCGTGTATGATGGACCTAATCAGACTTCAGAGTGGCAAAAAAAAATCTGTTGATCCTTACTTAGGAATAAATGTTAAAATCTCCCCAGCCTTATATAAGCAAGGCTTGTTATTAATCATTGCCACTTGCAATCCATGGAATGCACATGGAAAAAGGGTGGAATGCATCAGAATCAAGTTCCATGTGTTTCATCTGGTCGGAGGGCCACCACTTTTTCTTTATTTCCTTCTTTTCTGCTGTCACTTACACATTTATGACTGGATAATCAAAACAAGAGAGCTAGTCAAATCTCATTCATGTGTTCTGTGTGCTTATTAACTTTATTAAGTTATGACTATGTACATATATATATAGTTTAATCCTTTGACTTAGAACTAGATCTTTCTGAGAGAAAGTTTCAAAGGACTTTTTTTAACCATTAACTTTTTTAGATAACAAACACATAACAGAATCCAAGCTACTCTGGGGTTTATGCTTAAAACAGCTCAGGGTACCTCAGGCCTCCTGCCCGTGAATTTCTCAGCCTCCTTTGCCTTCTGCCATAAAGCCGGGTGCTCAGGGGCTGAAACAACCACTGAGCGTAATTTTTAGCAGCTTTACACTGCCTCCAGCTACCACATCAGCCAAGAAGTTGGTGGTTATTTGTATGCCATACTGCTCATGCCACAGCTCTCACCTATTTCACCCAGCCCCTGGTTTGGTAAAGGCAGCATGAACCATTTCTCTGAGCAGTGTAGGGCATCTCCTCCACCGCCCAGGGCCCATGTGGAGGGACCAGCACGCACAAGGCAGACTTCATGATGGAGCAACTAGGCTGTAGCATCCTTTACTGCAGAGCTGGGTCTTGTTTCCAAGATCAAGGCTACAAAGTCTTGCTTGAAGATTCATTACATTGAATAGGCGTGCTTAACGTGTTGAAGAAGAACTGTTAATTGTTTCTACCACTCAACCTATGTAGCAGAAGCAACCAAGCTAGTTTGGAGATTGAGTCTGGCATCCCCTGGCTTTTCAAAAGGTGCAGTGGTTCAACTCGCCTTTGGTTCCGTTTGTGTCAGGAGGATATTAATTCTTATTTATTATGATTTAATTCAATACTAACATTGCTAATTCACGCTTCCAAATGTGTTCTAAATGCTTTCCTCTTAAACTTCATTGACAATCTTGAGACAGGCGCTAAGTGCTTCAGACCATCAGGCACCTCAATAACAGGGTCCTTGCACATGTGAATCACCATCTTCTACAAAGGCTTGATACCATTGGCAGTTACCACACATTGTGAGTTTGTATCTGGATAAAATATTGAAATCCCATGTTTCCTCCGTACAAATATCCCCGGGAACAGATGTTCATCTCCATAAGAGCTTACAGACAAACAACCAAGGATAAGCAACTAATAAAATACTCTGAAATTACCTGTTGAAAAAAAACCATAATATTTTATAAAAGGAGGAAGACACTTGTATATGAAGGACTGAGGTTACTTTGTTCTGTTTTGTTCTGTATGCTATTGTAAACTAGTCATTTATGTGAAGTATTTGCTTTTGTGCAGTATAGCATAAATGGATTTTTGTTGCACAGTGCAAGAACTCTAGAATATATTAAACAGCAAAAAAATAGTCTGAAGGATATAGCAATGCTGAACTTAGAACTTTTAAAGTGAAAATTTCTGCCTATATGCCCTTGTCTGAGAGACAAAGATTTTGTATATGTCAGTATTCATTAATCTTTTCACAATTGCAGGTTTCCATACCTGCACACACACTGCAGCTGGTTAAGTAGTGATGTCTACCTTCGAACTGCTAATATGCATACGTAACTACAGCATATATATGAGAGATGTACAATCATACATGGGCAAAGCAGCTTGAAAATTCAGCTCCAAATACTAATTTCCTTAGTGTATCATTTTTTTCTATAGGGGAAATATTATAGTTCTCGTTTCCCTTCCTTTAACCCCTCCCTTCAAGGTTAATGTTTTTGCTAAGACAAAAGAAACAGAAAACCTCAGTTAAGTATCAGCAAAGGGAGATTGGTATCTATAGAGGACGTCTAGAGGGCATGTGATATGATTGTCTCCTTTGAGGTGTTGACGTCTTTCGGACCATTTTGCTGAAAAGAATTAGGAAAATAGCGTTGGCATGTTGTTAGTAATGGATTTGCATGAATTCCACCTGTGGACGTGGAACCCATTCTTTGGTGGAAAAACTAGATTGCTCCTTTGTGGCTGACAAGGAACTAACTCCTGAGTTCATCTGAATGCCGCCTGCTTACTGGGCTCTGCTAAATGAAAGCTCTCTGTCCATTCTTTTCCTTATTTATTTTGAAATAAATGTCAAAGCTTAGATTCAAATATCAATAGCACAATCACACCGTAAGTCTGCACAGTACTTTCTCAATTTTATTTTTACCCTCAAACACACTTTTTAAAATTGCTTGACTAACTTGAGATTTGAAGTGACTCCATAATCAGAAACAGAGTGACTCCAGATTGAGTTTCTTCTTTAAAAACACATTAATAAAGTTTGTGGATTTTCTAATATGAATGGAATAAAGATATGCATGAGGCAAGGGCTGCCAAAAATAAGCATGAAGTTAGTTGTCATATGGGACGTTATTAGCTCCTCAACCTTAAGCTCAGCCTACTTGTTTATTACACTTAGGTTTCACACACTCAACTGCCCTTCGGTGTGAAACAGCATAATTTAAAATAAAAAATAAAAGCAGCCCTTTAATTTAATCAAGAGCAGGGAACTGCCATTGCAACGTAAGTCATTGTCCTAATGTATCCTTTCACAGGAAAAATAGTATAGTGTTTCCATTTCTGTAATCTGAACAACAAACATGTTAATAGGTATCAATTACCAGCCAGTTTCAGTACTCAGAACCACTAAGAAGGCCAGTGCGAGGGCTTCACATCTGGTTTTAGTGAAACTGTTCCTGTCTGTGGTATTTAAAATTTAAAGAACTCCTGTTATTGTGCAATTGGGAATCCTAGGGGAGTACAATGTTAATGAAATCCATAGCGTGCAGGGATTTTATGATTACATTTTCAAGGCATTCCTTCAAAAGGGACGTCTGATTTCTGCCATGGCAGCAGTAATTCTGTTTTTACAAAGAAGATTTAATGTTTGCATTTAAGAACAGCCGTTATGTTTACACTCATCTGAAAAAGTAACATGTGAAATCTTTATATTTAGGGAACTTTTTGCATCTTTATTTTTGAAGCCTTTGAGCAGGAGCCATGGGCTGCTGTGCATGGCAAGCCCTTGCACCTCAGGGATGGGTCATGGCCAGCAGCCCCCCAGCACAGCACAAGAGTGGGGGAAGCTCCAGGATAGGTGCCATCAGCTAAAGGCACTTGAGACCCACGTGTGTGTGGTTTTGAAGGGAGACGGATTGCCTGTTACCAGGGTCACTGAGAACCTGTGCTATCATCAATCCTCATAATGGTGTGGGTTTTCAAACCCACAAGGAGCAACACCTTCTGGGTACTTTTACTGCAGAATGTTTTCTATCAAAATGTTTCTTCTAATGCATATAACACAAATCTTTATACTCCCACCAAGCTAGATGTTAGTTTCTGGGTGGCACAATTTTTCTCTCATCCTGTAACACTGAGCGAGACCTCCAGCTTGCCCAGAAAGCAAAGTGTGTTTGTTAATAACACAAGATCTTCAGTTCATATTATGGCTGGGGTTGGACAAAACCATAAATCCAGCTTTAAGATTCTTAGTATCAGATTGAAACTTTGCAGCCATAAAACAAAAAGCAGTACACTGGTATAAACACACTCTGCCAGTTCAAATTTGTTCAAAAGAGGTTAACAGGGGGTTAACAT